ACAGATGAGTGCAGCCCTCTTTGTTATTCACGGAGAGCTTCGGACCACACCTGACAGATTATGCTAATAAAGTGACTCATGTTGGGTAGGGACCAGCCATGCCAGAAAGACCCACCAAACTTGCAGGTGGTATCTGAGGTCTTGGGCACACTTGACAGTCTGGAGGACTGTGCCCTTTAACTTGTGAGCTCTGACGTAGCTCTGGGTGGTTAGAGTCAAAGGAAGAAGTGCTGCGTTTGCAGTTGGTACCATAGAAGACGTTTAGAGTTGTGCCGGATGACGCACATCGTAGCGTGGAACTGGAACGCCAGCCCAGGTCTGTCTGACTCTGGAGCCATGTGGCTAACTGGGCTGCTAGGCTGTCTTCTCTGAAAACAGGGTAGAAATTCTTATCCCATAGGGTCAATGTGAAGATTCGCTGGGATGATACTCACGAAGTCTTAACATGGCACTTGACTCAATACTTGGTGGCTATTATCAGGCAGTGTCCGTTGGTTGACGAGAGGGAGCAGTGGCAGGACAGATGCTGGAAACATCCACGTCTCCAGAGATAAAGTTTGTCAGGAGAGGAGAGAGATGTGTTGGAAGGTGATGGAATGACTTGGTTTCTATAGAAACGTGGGTCCAAGTTGCCCTGTCATGGGCTACCCACTCTTTTTAATTAGCATCCTCCTCCTCCTGAGCTAGAAGATAGGAAAGGTGATACATGGGCTGCCTAAACACTGTCCTTGGGGGTGGATTCCCGAGGTCAGAGAAAGGTGGATTGGGAGAAGTGGTGTGAAGTTTCAAAGCCACTTCTATTTTCCCAGGGCCAGTCCAAAGTCCTCTATCTCTTGGGTCAAAGCCATTGTCCTTTTCCTCCTGGCAACAACTCTGAGGTCAGGCTGGACCCCAGAAGCCCCCAGAATTCTGGTCCACCCCCTGGGACATGACAGAAACTACTGACCCCTGCCCAGCCCTCCTCAGATGTGATGGGTCCCAGGACGCTGGGAGCAGCGATTTGGGGCACTGTTTTACTCCTGGAAGCTCAGGAATCACTGCAGGGGAAGAAGCATTGCTATCCTTTCTGGGTGGCCTGTCTTCCACTGCCAGTGGGACACCTGCCCTTCTTTATAGTAAAAAGTACCATTTAAAACAACTCTGGAATGATCACAGCTATGTAAAAACTTACACCTAGAAAAAAGACTGGAAAGCAATGCCCTAAAGCTTGGCAAGGGTCATCCTTTGGGTGATTGTTGTATTTCACAACTTTATGCTTTCCTATATAGTATTTTTGAAAGTTCCACTGTGATCTAATGATGACTAACATATATTGGGCACTTATGATGTGTCAGGCATTGTTTGAAGCACTTCTATGAAAGCCAAAATTTCCAAAAAACCAAACTTATTGATGTCGAGTCGATTCCAACTATTAGCGACCCTATAGGATGGAGCAGAACTGCCCCATAGGATTTCTAAGGCTGTAAATCTTTACAAAAGCAGACTGCCACATCTTTCTCCCATGGAGTGGCTTGCGGGTTCGAACTGCTGACCTTTCGGTTAGCAGTCAAACACTTAACCACTGATCTGCGTGAGGGAAGTACTAATGATTGACACTTGTTTGAGCAAAGTACAAATGATTTGTCCCCATTTTGCAGATGAGGGAACTGAGGCTTAAAGGCATTAAATAGTCAGCGCCTGGACACGCAGCAGCAGGTCTGGAATTTGAACACAAATGTGTCTGAATGAAAAGCTACAAAATGAACTAGCTTCTACTGCCTCTTTTATAATAGTGGTGAGGAGGCAAGGGACTTTGTTTTATTGGTAAATTAACAATGTTTTTTTAAAAATCTAAGAAGTTGAAGGAGATAGAGGAAGGATGGATGGATGGATGGATCAATCAATTGATCAGTCAGTCTTCACTGAGCTCTCAGGCTGCCCTGAGCACAGTGTGTGTGAGTGTGTGGGTATGTGTGTGAGGTTACACCATCATGAAATAAATATAACTTTAAGAATCCGGAAAGAGATTGCCACAACTTCCCAAATGACAGCAAAGATGGTGTTTGTTAAATGAAGAAATTGTCTACTTCCTAACCAGTAAACTTGAGGTCTAGAGAAGGGGTTGACAAACTATGACCCACGGGCCAAATCCAGCCCACTACCTGTTTTTGAAAATAAAGTTTTATTGGAACACAGCCATGCCCATTCGTTTACATGTTGTCCTGGCTGTTTTCTTGCTACAGTGGTAGAGTTCAGTAGTTATGACAGAGGCTATATGGTCTGCAAAGCCTCAAATATTTACTGTCTTGTCCTTCACAGAAAGAGTTTACCCCTGGTCTAGAGCAATGTGTCTTACTTTTGAGTGTATACATGACTCACCTGAGGATCTTGTTAAAATGCAGATTCTGATTCAGCAGGGCCTGAGATTCTGCATTTTTAATGAGCTCCCAGATGATACCACACTGGGGACTGATCCTACAGAAGATACTTTCTGTGTGTCCATCCAGAGAGGGACATGACCTGATTTACAAAAAACATTCAGACATCAAACTATATAATTTAGGAGGTTTATTTGCTAAAGCAAAGGATTCTCCGCCTCTAGAAAGGATTTTCAGTGGCCAGTTTTGGATTACCTTCCTTCTGCCCACTTGGTATGTTCCCAAGAGGGCTGTGTTTGATTTGCTGGCTGCTCCCAGGAACATGGCAGCAGGGGCCTCACAGTGCAGTGCATAGATGATGGGGAGAGGGAGAAAATATCCCACCGCCCTTCTATATTGATATTTCATATCAGCCTTTTTAAAAGGTCAGTTTGGGCGTGTGTGTTTTATAACAGACATACTGTAATCTGTTAGTACCGCAGATAGTCCATGCACACCGCAAATAGTCCATGCACATCATTTGCAAGTACATGCTCGTTCGCGGAAGGTTCTTACAGACAGGTGTGCACAAGCACAGACGTTTGGAGATGGCTGGCATGCGCAAGGCACGCTGGATGGGCCTGCACTGTGCTCCAGTTCTGACTCGGGTTGGCAGGCTTTCAGCCCCGGTGCCAGCCGTGCAGAGCATGCCGCGTGGGCACGAGTTACTCCGCGCAGGCATGGCAGCACGTGGTGCACAGGAAACGAGTGACTTGGGAGCCCAGTGCACGCGTTCAAGCCCTCCCCGTGAGTGCCGGCCACACAGGGACCAGGGGAGCTAGCTGAGTGTTTGTGGAGAGGAAGAGGGGGGTGGGGAGGAGGAGGTCCTGCCAGGGAAAGGCTTACGCTGGAAAAGTAATAATAATAATATTAATAATAGCAAAACTCGCAATCATTTATTGAACACCTACTATGTGCCAGCATCTATGCGCAGTATTACACACAAATTATTTTCATTTAATCTTTGTGAGATAGGCACTATTATTTTACTAGTTGCCATCCGGTCAACTCTGACTCCTGGCGACCCCATGTGTGTCAGAGTAGGACTGTGCTCCACACGGTTTTCAATGGCTGATTTTTCAAAAGTAGATCACCAGGACTTTCTTTCGAGGTGCATCTGGGTGGACTCGAACCTCCATCCTTTCAGTTAGCAGTCGAGCACGTTAATCATATGCACCACCCAGAGACTCCAGGTATTGTTAATACCCCCATTTTACAGAGGAGAAAACTGAGGCTTGAAGAGGCAAAGTGACTTGCCTGAGGAGACACAAACTAGGGAGGAGAAAGATTCTGAATTTCAGAGACATTAGTTCTCCACAAATGTGACGAGATCCCCTTGAAAACACCAGTGGATCTTTAAAGATTTAAGTCTGAGTGAACCACACAATAGAGCTATGCACCCATAATAACGTTTGCTGCTCTGTTGAGCACTGATGCTGCGTCAAGAACCTTCCACCACCCCTGACCCTACAGGGGACCCTGGGCGGTGAAGGGAAAGGGGAGGGGACAGGCCCACAAGCCTTCCTCAGGGGGCCTGGGTCTGTGCTTCCTTCAACAGGGGGGTCTCCAGCGCCTTCATGGCCAGGAGGTGAGGTAGGCACTGTGGCAAAGCAAAGCACACAGTCCCTGCCTGAAGGGGGTGCCCTTTCTCAGCTCCCTGTGATTGTTGCCATGTGGAAATGAGGGCTAAGTCTTGTCAGATCTTCAGTCTTGTCAGTCGTAGGGGGGAGATCTGGATTTATACCTAAAATCTCCTGATCTTATACCCTGACAACAGATTTTTAAGAAATTTTAAACACTGCATGGACCAAAAAAATCATCTTCATGAGTGAGTTGGCTTTGGCCCAGGAAGCCACTGGTTTATGACCCCCACACCAACCCTTACTTATATTTTTACCTTGGGTAGCGCTATGAGTTGGAATCGACTCATTGGCAATGGGTTGTTTTGTTTTGTTTTTTTTTGTTTGGGTGATGCAAACAGTTTGCACTCGACTACCAATAAAAAGGTTGGCAGTTCAAACCCACCCAGCAGCACCATGGAAGAAAGGCCTGGTGATCTGCTTCCGTAAAGATTACAGCCAAGAAAACCCTACGAAGCTCAGTTCTACTCTGTAACACACAGTGTTGCCATGGATCAGAATGGATGGCAACAGATTTGGTTTGGGTTTTATAAGTATTTAATCTGAGGGGGCTGAGATGTATTATCTCCTGTGGCATCCTAACAGGCTGGGATGTGAGCTGTGTTATTATCCCATCTTACAGAGAAGGAAACTGAGTCTCAGAGAAGCAAGCAGCATGCCCCAAGCCACATGGGGGCTCAGAGGCAGGAGTGGGAGCTAAGGTTTCTCCCGGCTCTCGTCTCTGAGTGGGCTGCTTGCGTTCACGGCTGTCACACTGAGCTATTCCCATCTCAGTACAAAGAGGAAGGAGTAGAGATGAGAGAGAAGGGGAGGAGGAAGAGGAGGAGGGGACTAGGGTCCTCCCAGTCTGTCCCGAGCTCTGGGCAGGTTCCTCCTGACCCAGGAGAGCAATCCTGGACCCAGGTTCTCGCTGAAGGGCCTCTCTCTCCTCTCAAGCTCAGAGGTAGCCTTCTCGGGGCTCAGGATGCAGAGGTGGGGGCTGTGGGCCGTGGCTTCCCTGACCCTCCTCTCTGCCCAGGCCTTTCCACAAATGGACATCAGTATCAGCCCAGGTGAGTCTCGGGGCTGGGGCAGGTGAAGAGGGGATACCCCACAGAGACTTGAGGTCCCATCAGTGAGGCCTGGCTGCCTGGGTACAGGCCTGGCTCAGCCAAGGATGTCAGGGGACCTGGCTGAGCCTTGTGACACCTCCGCACCTAACCCCCCTCACAGGCACTCCCCTAGGGCCAAACCAGTTCAGTGGGTGAAAGATATAGTGGTTAAGAGCTTGGCTGCTAACCAAAAGGTCGGCAGTTCAAATCCAACAGCTACTCTTTGGAAACTCTATGGGGCAGTTCTACTCTGTCCTATAGGGTCAGTAGGAGTCAGAATTGACTCAGTGGCCATGTGTTTGGTTTTTTATAGTTTGTTAGACGTTCCTGGGTGGTGCAAACGCTTAACACGCTGGGTTGCTAACCAAAAGGTTGGAGGCTCAAGTCTACCCAGAGGTACCTCAGAAGAAAGGCCTGGTGATCTACTTCTGAAAATCAGCCACTGAAAACCCTATGGAGCACAGTTTTCAGCTTACAAGCTGTGTGAGCTGGGTCAGGTTTATTAACCCCTCTGGGCCTCAGCCTTTTCTGAAAAAATGAGGATCATAATGGCTCCCTCTTCGGGCTGCCATACAAGGGAGATAGAAAGGGCATCCAGCATTTTGTCTGACAACCCTATCATCCTACTACTTCAATTTACCCCAACACTGGAACAGCCCAATAACGTGGCCTTATGAGAATCTCCATCTAGGTGTTTCATTATTCATTTTACTTTAATGGGGATCAAAATAGTATCTCTACCATAGGGTTATTGTGAGGATTAAATGAATCCAAATATGAAAAGAGCCGAGAGCAGTGCCTGGCACTCAGTAAGGGCTACATAAGTCTTAGTTGTCATTATTGACTTTATTATTATCTTTAATATATTATATGTATATCTTAAAATGTTGGAAAGTGTCTAATGCACTGACATGGGGAGGCCTGGAAACGGTGGTTTTGTTACAGCTTTAGGTCTGAGCACCCCGATCCCCTGGCTTGTGACAGCTGTCCCAGGGAGCCTTCAGACCCCACTGCTGTGCCACTGGAGGTTGAGGATGTGTGGCAGGCATGGTTAGCCCTCTGGTGGCCTCCCTGGAGGGCTGGCCCTGTGACCCCCAGCCCTGTGGATTTTGTGGGATATCGCCAGAGATTGGGGCCCGTCAGCCTCAGGCATGTGACCTCCCAGTGTCTCATTTGGAGGACATGGGGTTCATATGAGCTCACTTTCTTCCTCTTTGCAATGGGGAGGCTGGATGCTGACTCTGGGGGACCCTCTGTCTATTGGGGTCACTTCCATGGTGAAGAGTCCTGGATCCTGCAATCTCTTTGTGCCTGTAGCTCCTGCTGGCCACCCTCCCAGGAGGGTTCTTTCCAAACATTGTTTAAAAGGTAAAAATATATATATATTTCAGATAAATAAGGGATAATTTTTTAGTATAAATCTGTCCCATACAGTGTTTGGAACATATGCTAAAAATGCATTTATTATTTATCTGAGATGCATATTCAGCTGGGCGTCTTGTTTTCTTTTGTTTTTTCCTAAATCTGGCAACCCCGGTGGTCGGCGGTGAGGGTTCCCAGCAGCAGATGGGAAAGAGCCCTGAAGCTGAGCCCTAACACCCTTAGCTTGTACCAGACCCTATTCTTAGCTCTTTTCATTTTGGGATCCATTTAATCCTCACAGTAACCCGATGGCAGAGATAGTATTTTTATCCCCACCAGGGGCTCCAGTTCTGTTATAAACTCTGAGAGTCTTTGGCCCCCTGCTCTTGGGCCTCAGTTTCCTCATCCCTACAGTAGGTGAGCAGGAGAGAAGCTGGGCAGAATACACTTGATGGATGCCTTGTTGGTTCTGAGATCTTGCGTGTCTGCCCAGCAGCAAGTGGGAAGGGGCCTTGAACTTGAAAGTGGGGTGACTGGGAGAGTTTTTTCTCTCTCTCTAGCCTGTGCCCATGGGATCTCTCTAACCTTCAAGTTTCCTTCTCTGGAAAGTGGGGATAATAATGGAACCGACCAAAGGTTTTGGGGTCTTCAGTGAGACCGTGCAGGTGAAGTGCTCAGCACAGTGGTGAGTGATTGAAAAATGAGAGGTATTACTATTACTGCTTCTGCCGCTGCAGTTGTTGTCATGATAGAATTGGCTAGGAGACGCAGTCTCATGTCAAGACAAGTCTGGAAAGAAAGTTCTAGACGTCTGTCCCCATGCCTCACTCCACTCTGCAGATAAGGGAACTGGGATTGCTTCAAACCCTGCAGCCTTGGAGATCTCAGAATTCGGAGTTGGAAGGAAGGGTCCTACAAATTCATTTAGTTCAACCCTTCCATTGTACAGCTGTGGAAACTGAGACCTACAGAAGCCAAAGGAACCCATGCAAGGTAATCATCAATCCTAGGTAGAAAGCCCAGCTCATGCCTAAGCAAGCAGGTCCTGTAGAGGAAAATAATTTCAGTCTAGAAGAGAAAGTGTGAAAGAGTAAGTGTGTGTGTTTAAGTGGGTGTATGTATGAATGTCTGTGAGTGTGAGTGTATGTTGATGTGTGACTAAAACCAAAACCAAATCCATTGCCATCTAGTCGATTCTGACTCATAGTGACCCTGTAGGACAGAGTAGAACTGCCCCATAGGATTTCCAAGGGTGTAATCTTTACAGAAGCAGACTGCCACATCTCTCTCCTGTGGAGTGGCTGGTGGGTTCGAACCACTGGCCTTTGGTTAGCAGCCATCGCTTAACCCATGTGCCACCAGGGCTCCTTGATGTGTGACTAGAGAGGGATTACAAGATGGACTGACACAGTGGCTGCAACAATGGGCTCAAACATAGCAGCGATTGTGAGGATGGCTCAGGACCGGGCAGTGTTTTGTTCTGTTGTACATAGGGTCGCTGTGAGCTGGAACCAACTCGACGGTGCCTAAACACAACAAGGGAGGGCTTGCTGAGGGTCTCAGCGGGTCCTTGGACAGCATGAGGGTAGGTGCACACTTGCAAAACCTCCTTATTGAGAGCGGGCCTGGTTTTTTCTTCCTGTTCTGGATACCCCCAGCCCTTATGGACAGAATAGGGCACCCAGCATTCATCTCACTTAGGGCCTTTCATTGGTGTCCCTGGGTGGTGCAAACGGTTAAGCGCTTGACTACCAGCCGAAAGGTTGGAGGTTCAAACCCACCCAGAGGCGCCTCAGAAGACAAGCCTGGTGACCTGCTTCTAAAAGGTCACAGCCTTGAAAACCCTATGGAGCAGTTCTGCTCTGCACACATGGGGTCGCCATGAGTCAGGAGCAACTCAATGGCAACTAACAACAATGAAAGATTTTGGGAAAAGGCCCTGGCCTTTCCTTGCCACCGTACATGCAGATGTATGCAAATAGCGCAGCACAGCCACACCCCTAGGTTTACTTTGGGTTGGGGGGTACTTTAGTCACCTCTGAGAGACTAGGAAGGATTTAGCTAGATTGGATCCCTTTCCCAAAACCTTTTCTCTGAACCTGACTTTGATCACATTATTTAAATGGATTAACGAGTATAAAGTGCTCAGAATAATGCTTAGCACCCAGCAAGAGCTACATAAATGTTTGCTGTTATGATTCTTCTACCATCAAAAAGCTTCCTTTCCCTGGCTCCTGAGCCCAAGAATGGTCTACAGTAAAGGGAATTCTAGCAAAATGCTTTGGAGTTCTAGGCCTGCTTCTGTGGTGCTTGAAGGGGGCAGATGGGGAATTAGTCAAGTTTTGTAGCCTTTTCCTCTCCCCTCCAGGAAACTGGCATTGTGCTCCCTGCTCCAGTGACTGGCCACGTTCCAGGTCCCAGGATGTTTCTACAGTAATAATATCCAATGTTTGCTAGAAGGCCTACTATGAGCCAGGCACTGGCTTCCCTGTGTAGCAGGCACTATCACCATGCCCATTTTACAGATGAGGAGACTGAGGCACAACGACTTGAGTTTCTAGCTGGGGCCATCTAACTACAGAGTCCAAACTCTTTAGCTGGGCAACTGGACATCCTCACCTCCTAGAGTAGGGCCGAAAGTTCAGACCATAGAGTCAGATCCTAGAGTGTCCCTTGGACACTCTGGCCCATACTCCAACCCCTCCTCTATGGTCTCTGTACATACTTCTAGAATTTTTCTTGTTATGGTTGTTGTTAGTGGCTGCTGAGTCTGTCCCCTACTCGTGGTGACCCCATGCGCAACGGAACAAAATGCTGCCCAGTCCTGTGCCATCCCTATGATCAGTTGCAGATTGGACCATTGTGATTGCTAGGGTATTCATTGGCTGATTTTCAGAAGTAGATCAATTGCCAAGCCTTTCTTCCTAGTCCATCTTAGTCTGGAAGCTCCACTGAAACTTGTTCAGCATCACAGCAAAACACGCCTCCATTGATAGGTGGGTGGTGGCTGTGCACGAGGTGAATTGGCTGGGAATTGAACCTAGGTCTCCTGCATGAAAGGCGGAAATGCTACCACTGAACCACCACTGTGCAAGTATCTCTGAATACATGATTATTAACTGTCACGTGTGTGTATTTGTCCCTGCAGACCGTGAGCAACTTAAGAGCACAGACCTCAAGCAAACTAGTCACTCAGGAAACATTGGAATATTTGCTGAATTAATTAGTCATAAATATGCTGTTTAACATATTTATGTTACAAATGAGAAAAGCAAAACCAGAAAAGATGTTTTCTAGGTGCACTATGAGTGGTTAAGAGCTCAGCTGCTAACCAAAAGGTTGCAGTTCGAATCCACCAGCCACTCCTTGGAAACCCTATGGGGCAGTTCTGCTCTGTCCTGTGGGGTTGCTATGAGTCAGAACCGACTCAACAGCATCTGACAACAACTACAACAGAAGCACTATAGTGTTCAGAGGTTCCCAAGCCCATCAGACCTGGGTCCCAGGCCTGGCTCCACCACTTGCTAGCTGCAGGGGAAGGTGACTTAACCTCTCTGAGCCTCAGTTTCATCATCTGTAAAATGGGGATGATGTTGAAA